AGAAAGAAAGAAAGAAAGAAAGAAAGAAAGAAAGAAAGAAAGAAAGAAAGAAAGAAGAGCTTGCCACATGGGAGCCAGCCACCAGCTAGAGCATCCATTGAGTTCCTGGGAAAAGCTGGAGTTGGCTGGGCTCAGTCTGAAGCATGTATTGAAAGGTAACAGGGAGCCAAGACAAATATTAGGTTTATTTTCAGACCATTAGGAGCAGTCTCCCGCGACAGGCCAGGTTTCCTTTCTGAACGGCCTCTCTTCTAAACACGGCAGCCCTGGCGTTCTGGAGCTGCACGCTCAAGTTGAACCCTGACAAACAGAAAAATATTGGCAGAGCCTTGGAACAGGGCGCCCAGCTCCGCTATTCATCTTCCTCTTTTCAGGGGAGCTGGCATCGGTCGCTGGCCACGGGCTCCCTGTCAGTGCCCCAGGCCCTCGGGCGCTGGGATCTCCTGCAGCGGCATCTCCCGTGTGCTTCTTCCAGGCCCCGATTCGCACCCCAGAGTGGAGGGGTCCTGGGATCTGGCGGGCATTCAGCGAAGTGCTAAATGTGACGGGGGCATTGGCGAAGACCAGACCTTCCATCCAGATCTCTTTTTCCTTGTGACGAAGGCGTGGTTTGCTCTCTCAACGGCCATCGCTGCTCAGAGTCTTTGCCAATTTGAGAGGGTGATTTGGGGAGACGTTTCCCAGGAGTCAAGACTGAACTCCTAATAATGACGTGGGCGCACGGCAGGCAGTCCTCTTGGCAACAGTAGAGAAGCGGTTAGCCACGAGGCTGTTTTGACCTCCCAGGTGGTGGACCTGGATCTCTTCTGGCTCTGCTTCTACTCATGGTCTTCCATCCAAGCCCTACCCGATCCAACTCTGCTTAGCATAAAGCCTCCTGCTGACTTTTGCCTGGGGCTGGGGCTTGTTTTGTTCAGAGGACCACCAAGGACGAGCAGGCTCAGTGTTCAGTGCCACCCTTGGCCTGACAAGTTTCGGCCTGGCCCATGGACGGAGGCCGCAGATGGACAAGGGCCTTAAAGAGAAGAGGGGTTGGCAAAGCCTGTTATAGAAAAGCCAGACGTTGTGCTCACTGGGGAACATGCAAAGAATTCAGACATAGAGGAATCCAAAAGGATTTAAATACAAGCCGGGAGCAGAGCAGCATCAAAATGCTGGGAATAAATAAATAATGCATAAATGTTGACAAGCAGCAGAGGGTAGAAGCGAAATGCTGTGCTGGTCAAAGAGGATCATAACGATGCAGTCTTTCCCTTAATCAAAGGAACTGGGCGGGATTTCAGATTTGCATTCTGCATCCTTAATCCCACGAAAGGCGGGCAAAAAGACAGGCTTGGCTGGAAACCAAGGGTGCCATTCCATCTTTAAAAACTGATTTTATTTATTTATTTATTTATTTATTTATTTATTTATCTATCATATTTGTATAGCCGCCCATCTCGCACAAGGTGACTCTTAATAAGAATTAAGGGGTTGTTAATTATGAATAACCCCTTAATTATTATTGGGAGGAGTTCATCCATGTCCATTTCTCTATTTCGGATCCTCTCTCCAATTTTTTTTTTTTTTTTAAATCTTGGACTAACCCTCGTTTCTTTCCCCAAGATTAAGGCAGCTATCTCACGTGGAGGGGGCGAACCCCAATATTTCAAACCCCAAAGGCTTGCTTCAGGATAGACAGGCATACAAAAGAGAGAATCAGGGCAATCGCTGGCCTGGGAAACTGAGTGACAGATGACCAGAGATCAGGGTTAATCAGCTTTTAGCACACAACTTTTCAGATCAAGAACTCATCTGGCTTTAGTCAAATTGTCCTGGCAAACATCCATGCAATTAATTCAACCATAGAATACAACTGATGGCAGAAATCTTTAATTGCAGTAAGTAACTTTAGGCAGGCTTTGCTAAACTTGTGTTTGACGACAGGGCGTCTGCTGGCTTCTCATTCTGGGAGCTGTAGTTCAACCTGTTTTGAACTTGTGGGGTTGGGAAAGACTAGCATAAAAATACAGGGGTGTAAGCGGGCCTGTCATATCTGGGCTGCAAACATTGCAAAGTCCATTAGGTGGCAGCGAAGGGGTACAGAAAAGTCTATTTGCTGCCATCTAGTGGTCATACAAATCTATGCAACTCAAATATGATAACTAGTGTTACCAATAGCGGTGAATATGTGTAGCTCAGGTAGTCCTTGTTTAGTGACTGCCTTGTTTAGTGCAGTTATGATGGTGATGAAAAAGTAACTTTATGACCAATCCTCGCATTTACGACCTTCACAGGTCTGTAAAGCAAAGGAAAGCTGGAGTAAGATTGTAAGCACAGTCATGGTTTTAGTAACTGCTTTGCTTAACAACCAAATTGCCATCACGACTGTGGTCACTAAACGAGGATGACCTACAGTTATGTCCTCTTCTAATACAGCAAGTGAATGACAGACCCTCCTTGTCCTGGCATGTGAATGAGATGAGAATGATGCTGTCACATTTTCCTTTTCCTTGACCAAATTTGAGTTTGAAATGGGTCCAAACCCATTAAGAGCAATTAATGCTGCAGACAACAAAACCTATTTGGGAATTCTTTTTAGTGGACGGCCTGCAACATTAAGCTTTTTCTGAACTTCATAAAGTTGGCTATGGAACTTAGTGTAACTTTTCTGCCACCTACTGTTTATTAAAAGAGGGTCTTAATTTTCTTCCTTTCTTTCTTTCTTTCTTTCTTTCTTTCTTTCTTTCTTTCTTTCTTT